TTTTTTTTTTTTTTGGGCTTGTGCTCCCCAGAACCCTGACTGGGGGTGATGCCCGGCCGGCCACCCGGGCGTGTATCTGGGCACAAGTTGGGTGGCCGGGCGCCTGGAAAAACAGCCTAGGTTGTGAATGTTCCATGGGCAGAGTGCCTTGTAGAGGCAGTATACATGGATTTGAAAGGGCGGGGAGGGGGGTATACATGGGTTTTGAAGGGGGTTGAAAGGGGTTTTGTACCATTTTGACTTCCAAGGGGCATATTTCGGTTTGATTTTTTGTTTTTATTTTTTATTTCCGAGTTTATAAGGAGTTCTGTAGTGACCCTCAGCCAAAAGATGCTCGCATTGCAATTCTGGACAACGTATTTTTTACAGAATTTTTGGAGTGTCTTTTTTTTCGGAATTTTGGGCCCCCACCGAACTTGCCACCAGTTTTCTGAATATAACGCCTGGGCGTTAAAAACAAATATAACGCTCGGGTGAAGATGGTAGCCAGACTAGACCAGGCGAACTTACTAACCCACTTCAATTGCAGCGCTTTAGTTTCTTGTTTTGCGTCATTGATCCCAACCCTGCTCGGGATGGCTTCCTTGTGATGTACTGCGTTTTCGGATGTAGCTCTCCTTGTTGGGATCCCCAGCCCAGAGGGAAGCTCTTTCTTTGGTGTTGGGTTCAGATGTGTTGTGGTCCTGGACTGTCCAAATGGATGGTACAAAACATGTCATGGCAAAAAATCATTAAGGCTTCACCCAACAGGGAATTGAATGTTTGATGAACTTTGATCCCATCTGCCCATTCTGTTGATCGAGTTGGTTTGTAACTTAGTATGTTTGGGACCATCTGCTGGGCTGGCCTTTCCCTCATCATTGGCGTGGCCGACCTTTTCCACTGGGCCTGGAATTTGATGTGTCCCATCATCTGCGAGTGTCCACTCTATTGCCGTTTTCCAGCTCACCTTTATTCCCGATGCCAATTTGAATGCTCCAATTACCTGGCTAGTGTTCTGAAGGATGAGTCTGCGGCTCGGATGAAGTACCGTCAGGTCGTGGGTGGACATGGTTGTTGTGGGGAAATGTTAGGTGGTGGAGAGTTCCGGTATTGAATTTGGGAAGCCTTTGTGTTGACACATCTTTGCAAAGGAAGGGATGCTGTTGCTTCAATTACAAAGAAAGGTTTGTGGAGCCAGGGAGTCGCCATGACGGACTATTCTTGAGATTGGATAGCGGTCTGACAAGTGCTGTCTTTGAACTAGTTGTGGACCAGCCTTTTTTTTTGCCCCCCTTTAACTAGGAAGGTTCTCACCCCCCCCGGTCCTGCCCGGGCGTGACACCCCGGGGGGGTCTGACAATTTCCTTTTTTGCGAGTTGGCTATCAAGGGGGGGGAGGGGGGTATGAATTGGTTTTAAAGAGGCTGAAGGGGTATAAAGTGGGGTCCTTAGTGTGATTCTGTTATTTTCTTTTTTATCTCCGATTCTGCCAGGAATTTTAATGTGACCCTCAGCCAAAAGTCGTTTGTATTGCAATTCTACACAACGTATCTCCAATTATTCTGTGAGTATAGAGTTTTCCATCTGGTGTGGGTGAGTGATAGTCTACTTTGATTTTGGTTACAGTGTAATCAGTGAGGGGATTCTGCAGACTGTTGAGTGTTCAGCCTCCTGATGAGTCGGTGAAACTCCGACGAAACAGTTTGTCACAGCCCCTCGTTTGTTGTCCTCTTCGCTCTCTCTGCCTACGGTTTACTGGGCAGTTCTATTTGTGACGATATATATATATGATATATATGTATAGGGTTGCCAGGCCGAACGTACGGAGGCTCCTAAGCGGACCCCCGAACGTCCAGGCGCTCGGGTCCCCGTATGGGGCCCGAACCTGAAAGGGTTCGGACCGCGCAAAAAAATATTCTGGCACCTAAATGTAATTATTTTTCTCTGAAATGTTTTGTGTGAGTTCTTTGTGATGTAAGGTATCTCCCTCATAATATTGAAGCCATTCTGTTCAGCCAAAAAAACATGAAAAATTGGCGAAGATGATGGTGTCAAAACTTGCTTCCCCACTCACTGATTTGTTTTTTCTCTCTTTTCTCTTTCTGTTTTTCCTTCATTTCGGGGCATGAAAAAAAATATTATTTTTTCGAACTTTATCTGTAAATTCTCCATTATGTTCAGCCCCTCGTTTGTTGTCCTCTTCTCTCTCTCTGCCTACGGTTTACCGGGCAGTTCTATTTGTGACGATATATAGATTTGTCACAGCCAAAACAAAATGAAAAATCGCCAAAGGTGGCAGTGTCAAAAACGTGCGCGCTCACTCAATAATTTCATTCTCGTTTTTTTTTCCTAATTTTCATTATTATTATTTATTTTTAGTATTTGATTTTTTATGTCAAATTTGGTAAAGAATTTGGATGTAACGTTGAGGCAAATGTTGTTTAGTTTATTCTTCTGCATAACATATATATTTTTCAGATTTTTTTGAATTCTTTTCTTTTCTGTTTTTTTTTTTGGTCCGTGTTCGGCCGAACGGCCAAACGCATCGAGAGGGGGTCCCGAACGTTTGGGCGTTCGGGTTCGGGCGTTCAGCCTGTCCCGAACGCCGGCAACCCTGTATATATATATTTAACTTTGTGTGTACCCTGCACCCTAACCCCTCAAAGGAAAAGTCCAGAGGGTGAAAATGAGAATGAAAAATGAAGAAGTGCAGGTGCGCTTAAAACCGAACGTGGTAGACTCTTCACCAAAACTGCAAAACTGTGAAAGAAAGAAGAATGCAGTAAAAGAAAGAAGATATTTGTGTCAATTTTTTATTTTTATTTTTTTCCTCCCTCTGCCTATCAGTTTTCCTTTTCTGCTCCTCTCTTCCTTGTGTTCAACACGTCTTCCTTCACTCTGCCTCTTTCCCATAGCGTGCAAGTGGGCTGTTATGGCATACGGGGATGGGGGCAGCTGGCGCTCAACTTCATCAACGTGGCGAGCCTTGTATGTTGGAGGCAAGGTGGAGGCGGCGTTAAGAAGACTGAGAAACTGAATGATTTCAATGTGTCTTTGTTTTTTATTTTTATCCCTTGTTCAGTGTATTTTTTTTTTGTAAAACACTGAAAGAAATAAGAATACAGTGAAACAAAGAATAAGAGGACACTGTTTTGTGTCATTCTGGTTTGTCTGTCTCTACCTGTCTGTGCTTTCATTTTTCTTTTCTTCGCTCATCTTATTTCTTCTTCTACTTTACGTGCTTACTCTCTTAGTCAATAGTTCTGTGACAATATAGCCTATGGTTTACCGGGCAGTTCTGTTTGTGACGATATATATGCTGACAATATATAGATATATATTTGGTGCTGAGGCTCCCGGGAACCCTGCCTGGGGGTCATGCCCGGCCAGGCACGCGGGCGTGTACCTGGGCATAGGTTGGGTGCCCGGGCGCCCGTAAAAACAGCCTAGCCCCTAAGCAAGCAGGGCGCCAACCTTCAGTTGGGTACCAACTTTCATCCACCCCCCCGAATTAGCAGGGCGTTATGGTGCTGGCTGTTTTCTATTCTGAAACTTCTGTATATACATGTCTGTGCTGTTGCGGAACATCTCCAATCTTAGCTGTCTGACCCACATGAGTCTAGGCACGATTCAGTGAGGCTGTGGCAGGTTTTGTCTATGGCTGGGGATATATGATTTTTTTATCGGGGAAGTGGTTGTGTTTCTCTCCGATTCTCTCCATGTCTCTCTCTTTCTCTGTTTCTCTCCATCTCTCATGTCTCGCTCTGTGTCTCTATTGCTCTTTGCCTATCTCTGTTGCCTCTATATTTCTCTGTGTCTCTCGTTCTGACTTGGTGAAGTGCGAGTGGTTGGTATGCTGGCTTAAGCCGCCTGCTAGCAGCCCAATTTGATTGTAGTGCTGGTTAACGAGGAAGCATGTACTGGCCTGCCGGTGGCAGGCCAGTGCATGGAAAGTGGAGCTGCAAACTTAGCGGCAGGGGTCTGGCGGCAGTGGTTTATTGTTCGAGGAGTGAGATTTTCTTTGTATGGCTTTTGCTTCGATATCCCAACACAGAAGTGCTTTTACACATGAGCGTGTTGTGTTTTAGTGGCTATGGATTGTCAATAAATCTTCACATTGGATTGCGGTTCTCTTTGAATACCATAGAGCATTAGGCTGAATTGATCGATCTGCGTGTTGCTGTTTCTTTAGTCCACAGGCAAGGGCGCTCTCTGCTCGAACAGTACAGTTTACACAAATTCAACAAAGTACAAGAGGTATAGCTGCACGCTGACCCCAGGACCTGCAAGCGAATTTGTAAGGGAGAATGTGGACATATTCTGCAACAAGTCGGAAAGTTTTTGCAAGATCAACATGCAGCTAAAAGATGGAGGTGATCTCGAGTGTTCAAGTCCAGCCTGTGGTATGAAAGATGGTGCCAGTGACTTCGATTGCGTTAATGTGAACTGCACCTGTAATAAGGTACGAATGGATGGAGCTCATCATTGAAGTCGTAGCTCTTTGTCAGATGATGACAAATGTTGGATCTGGATACACTTGCAGCTGATCCCAGAGGCTGCAAACCACCTCTTAACAGTTATGTTGTAAACAGGGTAGTTTTGGTGCCTACCGCGGATGCGCACCCTAGGCAGTAGGCGTGCCTACCAGTCGGGCCGACTCGCACGTGGACCCGTCGGCGGTAGGCAGACTGCCTTTGTTTTTTTTTTTTTTTTTTTTTTTTTCTGATTGCATGGTAGTGCACGGCTTGAGGAGAGCAGCTCAAATCCGCAATAGGGGGAGGTATAGGGGGGTTATAGGCTAAGTAGCAAGGATTACCTGGCCGGATAATCTGGTCGGAATATCTGGCCAGATTATCCGGGGGTGCGATTATTCGGAAATCCGGATATTAAAAAAAGGCCCAAAAAGAAAAAGTGATATTGCGCATTAAAATACAACAACCTATGCTCTTAGTTCATAAAAAGCTTGATTGGTCACCAAAGGGTTCAAAGGGCATATAGATATAGGGAATTACGGGGGTTAGAGGGGGGTTGCTCAATTTTATTGTCTCAATATTGTTTAATTATTTTGTTTTATTTTGGTTGCGATATCAAAGATGATATAAAGCCAAAAGTTGTTCGTATTATTTTAATTTTATTTATATCTACAACCAGGGTCACCAGCCGGTATGTACGGAGGTCCCCAGGCCGACCTCCGTACGTTCGGGGTCCGAACCCGAAGGCGTTTGGCCCCCGCCAAAAATTATTTCGGCCACTGTTGCCAGGCCGAACGTACGGAGGCCCGTAAGCTGACCCACGAACGTTCGGGCGTTCGGGTCCCCGTACGGGGCCCGAACCTGAAGGGGTTTGGACCCCGCAAAAAAATATTTTGGCACCTAAATATTATTATTTTTTTCTGATTTTTTTTTGTTTGAGTTCTTTGTGATGTAAGGTATCTCCATCTTAATTTGAAAGCCATTCTGTTCAGCCAAAAAAACATGAAAAATTGGCAAAGATGGTGGTGTCAAAACTCGTTTGCCCACTCACTAATTTGTTTTTTTCTCTCTTTTCACTTTTTGTTTTTCTTTTATTCCGGGGCATGAAAAAAATTATTATTTTTTCAAACTTTATTTGTAAATTCTCTATTATGTAAGCTACACATATATAAAATTTCATGGCATTTGTCACAGCCAAAACAAAATGAAAAATCGCCAAAGATGGCGATGTCAAAAACGTGCTCGCCCACTCACTCGCCCACTCGATAATTTCATTCTCGTTTTTTTTCTTAACCTTCATTATTATTATTTATTTTTAGTATTGGATTTTTATGTCAAATTTGGTAAAGAATTTGGATGTAACGTTGAGGCAAATGTTGTTTAGTTTATTCTTCTGCATAACATTATTTTTTTTTTCAGATTTTTTGGAATTCTTTTTTTTTTCTTTTTTTTTCTTTGGATCCGCGTTCGGCCGAACGACCGAACGTGTCGAGAGGGGGTCCCTAACGTTCCGGCGTTCGGGTTCGGGTGTTCGGCCCGTCCCGAACGCCGCCAACCCTGATTTCGGGGCCTAAAAATACATTTTTTTTTTCAGAATTTTTTTCTGAGAGTTCTCTATGATGTGAGGTACATGCCTATAAATTTTGGTTTGCTGAGCCAAATAAAATCAAAACGTGCTCGCCCACTAATCAATTTTATTATTTTTTAAAACTTTTTTAGTGAGTTTTTTTTTTTTTTTGTGTAAAGAAAATCATCTTTTATAAAACCAGGAAACGGGCCCGGCGTCCCTCACATGAATTCCGTAGCCAAACCAGGCTGGAAAGGCACTTTCGGCCAGTCCCATCCCCAACCACGAACCTCCAATAGTGAAGACGGCTGTCTTCAGCCCGTCCCGTGCAAATCTGTAGTTGCTAAGTTTATGTCAATACTAATGTAGAATTTAATCCTATTCCAATATATCCATTAATTCTATATTATCAAAACAACCACACAGATTCCTGACCTATTCCCTGACACAATTACCGTAATCATCCCAAACCCTAGGTTATCTACAAAGCAACAACCGTAATCATGACTAATTCCCAACACAAAATAAATTCCCAATTAAGGACTAATTAACTAAAACCAAAAAATCGTCAAAAAGTCTAAATCACCTCGAAAATTACACCCAATTTCGAGCAAAGCAGATTTCCAATAAACCGAATGTCCCACTCTCTCCGAGCCATCAGCCAAAGGGAAATTCAGTCAATAGACGACAGAGGGAGGCAAGCCTACTGTGGGCTGCAGCAGAAGAAGATAGTCCAAAATGACATCCCTAACCCTCTAAAATTAAACCCAATTTCGAACTAAGCAGATTTCCAATAAGCAGAACGTCCAAAATGACATCCCTAACCCTAAACCTAAAAGCCGTCAAGAAATGTAAATCACCTAAAAAATTAAACCCAATTTCGAACTAAGCAGATTTCCAATAAGCAGAATGTCCTACTCTCTCCGATCCAACAGCCAAAGAGAATTTCAGTCAAAAGATGACAAAGGGAGGCAAAACTACTGTGGCTGCAGCAGAAGAAGATTGTCCAAAATGACATGCTTGATGGGGGACAACATCAAGCCTGTCATTCTAGATGATCTTCAGGATATCATCCGATTATAAATGGCAGGTCCATTAACCAGTCTCATCCCTAACCGTAAAACAAACACCATCGAAGTGATGGGCAGCAAATCACCAACTTATCAATAGAAACCCTAAGATCCACACATGGGCAGTGAAAAAACCAGTCAAGACGATCAAGCAGGTGTCGACATAAGTGCAGACCACACCACAATACCGAATCAGCAGCGGTGCCATTGCAATCGTACCAGGAACCTGTGAAACATCCGTCGTGGCCATCCGAATTCACGGCAGCCAAAAAGCCCCAACAACTCTCTTGTTCGGAAAACTGCATGTAGTCATACAGTCGTCTACAATCAAGTCAATGGCCAACGAAATTGTCCTAATCAAGCACAGCCAACCCTCTATCGCCTGCGCAACGCACAGCACATAGCATGGTCCGCTGGAGGAGGCACACCAATTCATCTTCTCGCCAATCAACAGCAAACCACTATTCACATGCCTCTCCTTCATTCTCCTGTCGGGTCCTAGCCGCCCCTCAAAAAATAACGGGGTGATTTTTAAGTGTTCTTTCACCCCACCGGACATGGCCTAGAGGTCCAGACACAAGACACTGCAGGTTTTTGAGGTGGCGGGTTTCGCACAGGCCCGAGCAATTTCAAAGGGGCCGTTTCAACGTGGCGCCCTCCGCTCCTGGCCGTTAGGGGGAGGGAGGGAGAGAGAGAGAGAGAGAGAGAGAATCTAATCTCCCCTCCCCCCCCCAGCACACGATCAAGTGTAGTATCTGTTTCGATCAGTTTCATTTCCGATCTTCTCACATCATCGAGCCATACTATCTGCTCCGTTCAGTTTCATGTAGTATCTGCTTCGATCACATAGCCGATCTTCTCCCATGATCAAGCGTATTATCTGCTCCGTTCAGTTTCATATCTTATCCATGGTCTATCAAGGCCTTTTTATTTTATAAAAGAAATAAAAAAGCACGTGCGTGCAAGAGAGAGAGAGAGAGAGAGAGAGAGAGAGAGAGAGAGGTCTATCGAGATGGTTTAAATG